GAGATTGTTATATCTTTCTATGACCTGCCCAGACATTACTTATGCAGTTGGTGTCCTTAGCCAGTTCATCATGCCCCTATGACCACTCATCTTGAAGCAACAGAAAGAATCCTCCGATACCTTAAAAGGTTTCCAGGTGTTGGCTTGTTGTTTCAAAGGCACGGACATTTGAAAGTTGAAGTGTATACTGATGCAGATTGGGCAAGATCCCTAAATGACAGAAAGTCAACTAGTGGTTACTATACCTTCATAGGAGGAAATCTAGTTACCTGGAGAAGAAAAAAGCAAAGTGTGGTAGCTAGATCCAGTGTTGAAGGTGAATATCGAGCAATGGCTCATGGAGTGGCTGAAATTATGTGGATGAAGAATCTGTTGAGTGAGTTGGGTTTTCTAGTGGACAGACCTATGACCCTATTCTGTGATAACAAAGCAGCCATAAACATTGCTGCTAACCTTGTGCTACATGATAGAACTAAACACATCGAAGTCGACAAGCATTTTATCAGAGAGAAGGTTATCACAGGGGAAGTGTACTCCCTATGTCAACTCTGAGGATCAACTTGCAGACATCTTTACAAAAGGACTACACCACTCACGACATCATGATTTATGTGACAAGTTGGGCATGATTGACATCTATGTCCCAACTTGAGAGGGAGTGTTAACAATTGTTATTTTTCCTATGTATAGTACTGCAGGGGTACTATTGTACTTTTACTGTTTTTTATTTTAGTTGTTGTCGCCCTAGTATATATATTAAAAAAGCTGCGCCGCCAGCAGTATCTTTTGCTCTCAGTTCTCTCTTCTCTCTTCTTCTCTCTCTCTTTTCTCTCTTCTTCCATTCTTCTCTCCTGCATAACAGATTCTATAATTTGAAAATTACAGAAAAAAATAGAGAGGTTACTGTTTATTGTACAGAAGGAAAGGACCTAAACTCCTTAGTTCCACCTAATGCTATTTGGAGGTTCTGTTAGAAGTAAACAAGGAGATATTTTGAGGCTTCTTTTTCTTCCTTTTCCATCTATTTTCTAGAACTAGGGCTGTAATCGGGTTGGATTTGGATTGAACCCAGCTATATCCAAACCCAATCTGATTATCAAGATGTCAGATCCAAATCTGATCTGAAATTTGAAATGTTGGACTTTGGATTTAATCTGAGTCCAACTTGTGACTTATTATGCTTAAATGAAGAACAAATTAGAAAGTGTAAAGAAATTATTTAATTTTAACTTATACATATATAACGAAATTATGTAGATATAAAATATTTAATTTATTAGTTATAAACATTATATATAATGTCATAGTAATAATTAATCAAACTTGGATTTTAATCGGATTGGATGTCGAATAGTGTATTGGACTTTCAGGTTCCTTTGACAGCCCCAGCTAGAACCATAGGCAGAAATTGGTGGTCTTTGAGAATTGAACTCAACTAAATTGATTTTTTCAGTCTTCCTTGGTATTGATTCAAGTCCAAGACAACATAGAGCAATTGGTTGCTTGATCTATAAACTGAAGAACTTCAGGACTCATGCTTGACTCGAGTCTAATGTTCCCGGGCTTGGCCTTGACTACAATCAAAGAGCAGCTATGAAACATGAGCTGCTGCAGGAGTGCTAAATCTTCTTAAAAAGTGAGGTACCCAAGTTACAAGTTTGTCCAATGGTACATGGTCATGAAGGGAGCTTGTTGAATAATTGGCCTTCACAGAACCATAAATAAAGTATCCTAGCCAACTAAAGTGGAGATTTACTGAAGAGAACATCCAAGGCCCTTTCTAAGAAGACATACATCTTGACTTGAGTCTAATGTTCCAGGCTTGGGACTTTTTTTTTTTGATAAATGATGAAGTTTTATTAAGAAAGAGAAGGGGTTACATCAAAGTTTTACAAGACAAAACATCCCAATAGGGACGCGAGGTTCGAACCCAAACAACAACACAAGTTACAACTGAACCAAAAAATGTTCAGACTTATGCACCCCCGTTTTTGCAAAGTAATCTGCCATCCCATTTTCCGACTGCCTTTCTCATTGACCAAAAATTGCCATTTCTCTAACCAGCCATTTGAACTTTTTCATAGATTCCTTCAATGAGTGACTTGTCAAAGTTTAGCTGTCTAGCAATCTGTACTCCTTGCAAGACTGCTTGGAACTCCACAAAAACTGAATCCCCTATTCCAACTGGGCCTGTGAGTACAGCAACAATATGTCCTTGTAGAGTCAAAGAGACTTCCAATCTGCAGGGGCACAATCCACCTATGACCAAAAAGATCAAAAACCTTTTCCCAGAGGCCTATGACAAAAGGGCACAAAATTAGGAGGTGGTAGCAGCTTTTACCACTTGCTTTACAAAGGGTACACCAGTTGGGGGAAAGACACAAGGAAGGTCTTTTTTTTTGCAAGGTATCTTACATGTTTACTTTTTCCATGAAATACTTCCCAACACAAAGCCCCAACCTTGTGAGGAATAGGTTTATGCCAGAATTCTTTAAAAGGGCACAGAGAAAGGTTTAGGGCTGAGCACAAATAAGAGAAGAAGCAAGCCCCTAGGGTGCAGAGTCCAAATACGACCATCAAGCTTAGAAGGATCCAGGAAAACAGAGTCAAGGACTTGCGAAAGCGAGGTTGCCAAATCAAGCTCACTTCCTCTCAAGTTTCTTCTTAGTGTCAAATCCCAACTTAACACAGTCAACTGAGAGTAGGACACAAAACGATGTACAAGTTTTTTTTAAACAAAGAAAGGGAATATAGAGAGTGAATAAGGTCTTTAAGGGTTGAGTTGCCAATCCAAAGGCTCTCCCAAAAAAGAACCTTGTCTCCAGAGCAAATATCATACCTGATTTGGCTTAGGAACTGGGGGAGCACTCCACATATGGATTTCCAGGGGGAAGCCAAAGTAGCCATCGGAGAGACCTTGGTGTCCCAACCATTGCCTACACCACCATGTATACTGCCTATCACATCTTGTCATAGTTTCCCCCTCTCCAGAGGCCACCTCCACAACCATTTACCTAGCAAAGAAGAATTCTTCTTTCCTAAATTTCCTATACCTAGGCCTCCCTGTTCTTTGCTCTGACACACTACCTACCACCTGACCAAGTGATCCTTCCTACCTTCCCTAGGCTCCCAAAGGAAGTCTCTCATCAACTTTTCTCATTTTTGCACTTCCCTCCTAGGCATCCTAAAAACCGACAAGTAAATAGACTGGCAAATTTGCTAGAGTGGACTTTATCAAAATAAGGTACCCAAGTTACAAGTTAGTCCGATGGTGCATGACCATGAAGTGAGCTCGTTGAATAATTGACCCTCACTTGCAGAACCATAAATAAAGTATCCCAGCCAACATGAGTGGAGATTTACTGAAGAGAACATCCAAAGCCCTTTCTAAGAAGATATACATATTTTAGTACCATACTACATCTAACTTTGTCAGCCCCTCATCTTCTCTTTTGTCAAACTTTAACCTAATTGAAGAGGAAAAGTACACCACCTGTTGCTGTTTGCAAGACCCTCAGTTGGTAAATATTTCAATTGAACAACCAAGAGCTTTGTCTTCCACGTAAACAGTGTAAACCTGAGACTTATAATCCAATTTATTTTATTTTTAAACAAATTAATTTATTCAGATTCTGTTCTTTTTTTTTTGTCTTTTTGTGTTAATTCATGACTTGTGTCAACAACCATGTTCTTGAGTCAAACCACATTCTAACCAATTTCACAATGTTGTATCTTCATGATTACTGAGTTATATTTATTTATTGAAAGGATTTTAGGTAGAGAAACATTGTAAATAGGGGGCACTACTTCCTTAGGAATTGACTGTGTTTTAATAAAATTTCATGTATTCTCAACTCAATTCAACTCAGCCTTAACTCCAATTATTTGGGTCAACTACATGAATCCCGTCCTGCTATTGTGCTCTATCAACTCATCCTTAAAACTTCCTGTATTATAAAAATAAATAAAGAAATAATATTCACTAAAAAGTAAAAGCATCAAAGTTGTTTCATCATCATCATCATCCAAGCCTTGTCCCAATTATATGGGGTTGGCTACATGAGCTCTGTTCTATTTAATGCCATATTCATTGTCAAATTATGGGCACTTAAAATCATTTCTAACTACTTCAACCCATGTCCTTTTTGGTCTACCCTTAGTCCTTCTGGCCCCATCAACTTGCAACATATTGCTTCTTCTTATGGGTGCTGTTGGTGGTCTTCTATGCATATGACCAAACCATCTTAGTCTATGTTCCTTCTTATGGGTGCTATTGCTATTCTATCACGAACCCAAATAGGGACATAAAGAATTCCATCTACTTCGAGGGAGACGAACACCTCCAAGAGATAAAAATCTCAGTTAACAAAAGATAATTCTCATCATAATTACCCATTAAGAGGAAGCTTACAACTTAAATAGACTCTTGGATAATAACAGACTCCTAAAAACTTGGCTCCTAAAATTAAGCAACAACTTGACCACTTATCCCAATTCCCAACCACTTCCCACAATCCTTAGACTCACCTATGACTTTTAACAGACTCCAATTAGATAGTTATCTACAAAAGTATCAACAACCGAACCTTGTCCACTAGACTCTCCCTAGACTTCTTAAATTATTTTGGCCCAATGACTCCCCTAAATTTCTTAAATTACTTTGGCCCATGGGCCCATTAGTGGGTCCTTGACCTATTCCTAGGTTCTTTTGAATGATTTCATTTCTGACCATGACTAAAAAGTGAGAAGCTGTTTCTTCCAAGAAAATACATAATTGGTATGGAAGCATTTCATGGCAACACAATGTGGAGTTGATATCTTTATTCACTACATCAATGGAAAACTGCTTTACCATGTTTAACTATTAACAAGCATGTACTTGTCATATGTATGTATTAGTTGACTGGAAAGGCTATTACTATTGTTTGTCTCTAAAACTATCATTAAATTCACTCTGTTGTTATGGGACAGAATTCCATGTTTATGGTTCCACAATGCAGGTGGATGAGTGCATTCTGTGGGTGAGCATTATATTCATCACCATTTTATGTACACCGCAGCCAACCATTGTGAGATGGTCATCTACACCTCCAGTCTCTGCTGATATCATGGTGCAATGGAAAGGCTTTTGTGCCCTTATAGCAAATGCATACTATATGAAAGGAATGGCATGGTGAGGTCCTATGCTTGTTCTGGTTCTGATTCATTTTAATTTGCTGCTATATAATAGAATGATGCAGTCTATATGTAACAAGACCCCGTTAAAATAAGTATCATGCAAAGCATGTTCTTGTTCGCTTATGAGAGAACTTTTTTCACCAATATTTTCTTTTTCACATATTACTTCTATGTTAATTACATAATTTTGACCTGCATCTATTAGTGGATACATTTTATTGTTTACCAATTTAATTTTAAGGACTTGTGTATGTGCATTCGGGGTCAGTGTGCTTGAAATCTCTCATCCCGTCAAAAAGAGTGAGCTACTTGTTTTTGTTGAATTGAAATATAAAGCAATTTTATTTCTATAATTCAACCACAATTTAAGTCGTCATTTTCTTTTATGTCCTTTAATAGGTTCACTAGGCTGTGTTTGGTTTGAAGAAAAGGTAGGGAAAGGAAGAGAAAGGTAGGAAAACCTGTATAAGGTTTGTATGAATTTCCTTACCTTTCCCTTCCTTTCCCTACCTTATCCTTCAAACCAAACACAACCTAGTGAAATCTTATCTTCTGAGAGAATTGCTTGGTGTGGAACCCTTGAACTGAACTTTCTTATGTACAGGCTTCCAGTGAAGACTCTTCAACTAGAACAAATGGCAGTAATTGGACGTGCCGAGGAGCCATCAGTTGTTGCTAGCCGAATGCGATTAGTATTTAGCACATTAGAGGTTTAACAGTTCTTCCCATGTTTATTTTCAGTAAAAATAGAAGGTGCATGATGAACCTGAGGGACAACATCCTCAATAAGCCTTAGATGGCCTGCCAATACATTTATAGTTGTCATTTGAAGTAAAAGGATCTCTAGTCTGGGCATATTTTGAAACTCAAGCTGGTTTATAGGACATTTTTATGGCCACTATTATCCAGAACTAGAGGTGGCCTAGTAGTTCAATGGTCCACATTGACCAATATGCTGGCAATATACATGGCAAGTAGATGGTTTCATTGAGTATTATGGACCTTAGGTTCTATGGTGCATTCATGTCCAAGTGTGCAACACTGAAAAAAGCTTTATGATTGAACTTATAGAAGACATTTAATGCATCTCATCTCTGAAAACTTTACTACTCTCTGGTTCAAGTTGAAGAAAGTTCCTGACAAGAGCCGTCTCTTACATAGTTCAGTATTTTAAGAAAATCATCTGATGGTTATTTTGGTCTGTGCAGGTGGTAAGTCCTCAATGGCCAAGAGTTTAGTTAAATCTAGATGCTTCACTTGTTCACTATTAAAGAAATTGTTTTAGCCAAGGTGGTGAGTCCTCAATGGCAGAGAGTTTAGTTAAATCCAAGTACCTCACTATTAAAGAAATTGTATTGCATTGGACTTTTTCATCGTATCCGTGTGATTGTAAATCTGCATTTTAGAAACTACAGCTTACTAGAATTTGATGTAAAGAAAGGATGGTGAAGATGAAAGTTATGTGAAAAATAAAGACACGCTTTCATATTCTACGGTTGTGTTTCAACTTTTTTGGGTTTAAGCCACAACATCTGCTCATTAAGTCTAAAGCTTAGGTCTGATCTACTTTCACTTGATAATTAGTCAATGTGGCCCAAAATCTTTACAAAAAGTTTTTTTTTTCTTTTAATAGAAGTTGGCTCACTATGGCCTCTTTGTATTCAACTTTTGCTTCTAAAATCCCTTGAATACATCTATGACGTAATTGTTGATGAGAATTCCGTCAAATATGAAATGGTTCCTCTTTAATTTTCTCTCTACGTTTTTTTAAAGGTCAAATTATATTCTCTCATTTTAACATTTTCAATTAGCTTTAGGCAAGAACGCAAGTTTCAATCACAATAACAAAGAGAAAAAATACAACAATAAAGCATTCTTTCTTTTACTGTAAGACGAAAAAAAATTACCAAGTTTTTCCTCTTTTGTGTGCGAGGGTCCATAGCTCAGTGGTAGAGCATTTGACTGCAGATCAAGAGGTCACCGGATCGATCCCGGTTGGGCCCTTGTTATATATATATATAACCATTTCGAAAATCATTAAATAATTTTTTTTTCAAAATTAACCAAGGTCATTTTTGACTGCAAAATATTTGAAAACCGTTGACTGGTCATCAATCTTCTCTCAAATAAAAGTTACTTTTCAGACGTACTAAGTGGTGAAATAATGTGCAGACGAACACCACGTAGTTTATAATCGGAAGACTTTCATGCTTAGATTTTGGAGGAAATTACATTAGAAAGTATTCAAAATCTTCAGCTCTGTAAGACAGATAAATTAAAGCCAGATAATGTTTTCTTTTTCTTTTTGAATAAATGAAGAAATTAGACAACTCGTCAAAATTGAGAGAACAGATTACAGAAACCCATCATAAATCATGTGGAGCAAGCAATCCACTCGTGTCTTTGAGCGTCTTCCGGGCACGCCAATAGACAGCATTCGCCGTTTCTGATGTACCAACCTGTAAAATTTACAAGATCAATGTTATTTCAGGTGGTATAATTGGCAATTACAGGAATCTTCTACGGTGCAAGACCACAGCACAGCCCTTACACATGGGCCCTGTGTATGGAGCGGACATGGTATTTCATGATTGGTCTAGAATTAAAAGAAGATTGAATCTGGCAAATGGACGTAAACTACCATCTCAACAGGCTGAGTGGCTCATGGCCCACTCCATTTAAAGGATGCACCTACGAGATCTATTGGCCAACATCTAACGTTACCAGGGGACCTTAGCAAAATCTAATTTATTAAATGCTCTTGCATGATAAAAGATGATATTGCAAAACCTCCAGAGATTGGATTATTATTTCATCCAGTGGCATATATATTTGGCCTAAAAAATCTTCATTGTTAGACTCTGGATGCAAATAAAATCCTAGAATGCATTCAATATGTACGGTAGGGGATCAAAGGATGGTCTCTTCTATCAGATGGATAGGCAAAAGAATGTTACCTTGATCTCCAGTGAGTAATAATCTCGCCATAATCCAACATCTTGGTTGTAAGTTGTAAGTGCAGATTCATACAATTTGCGTGCATTTTCAAGACCTTTGTGATCACCAACAAATGCAAGGTTTGATTCCAACTCGATGCAATTTCTATAAATTGCAAGACTTGGACGTGGTGAAGAAAGAAATCTTCTCATAAAGCATGGCAAAATCATTAGCAATCACATTTTGCAAATATATTATACTCGAGAAGAAAATTCAAAATTGTATTCAATATTTTAACAGATCTTTCATGATTTATTTTTAATTGCAAAAAGATAATGGATTATTGGATTGGAGTGCGAACAGATTATTGCCCCAAAAGAAAATCTATAGATGTTATGGGATGCAAGTCTAAGCAAGTGCGACATGAAACAAAGGTTCTAGTATTGAAGAATAATATTAGAACATACCGTTTATACATGTCTCTTGCACGTAAGATACCATCCCTTTGAACAACCCAATTCACAATAGCGGATGAAAGAGAAAATTTGCTTTCAGAATCATCACCACCTTTGGCTAATAAAATAAGGGAAATCTGCACCAGCTTGTCAAAGTAGTCCTTGTGATTTGAAAACAACTTGATGGCCTACAATAGAAGACCACGGCAGAAAGAAGATTAAGATATCGAGTTACATCTAAACAATGCTGATAAAAAAAAAAAAAAGTTACATCTAAACAAAGTACTATTTATGGTATTTATGCAAGGCTAAATCTTTGGATCTGGGGAAAGAATGCATAGAAGAGTCTGTCCCTCCCAACTTGCTACCTGTCCATATTTCAAGCAATAAGGTCCACCATTGGTGAGTACAAAGCCAGACATCACTTGGGTACAAAATAGCCTTCTCATAAGACTATAACCATCCTTACCTATCATTTAATTGGATGCCAGTATAACATTATGTATCGAGGCTGATAAGCACTATGCATAATGCCCAAATCAGATGATTAAATGTCACCAAACAATGGTGGGTTTTGACACTTGAAAAATGGGTCAGATTTGAGTTAATTGGCCTCAGAACCACCTATCTAATACTAAGTCCCCAGAAGTCCCCAGATCCAATATGCTTCCTTTATGCACTAACAAGGATAAATGCTTTGACAGCTTTAATTCATAGAATACTACATAAAAACATAACTATCAGATCAATGATTTGCCAAAAACCATAGCACTTTGAAAGTAGTCTAGTGGCATTCATTAGAAGCTAGTAGAAGTGCTGACAAATTAGTGCATGCCCACAAAATTGATAAAGACTAAGAGACATTACCCAGTGATGGTCCTGGCTATCCAGGGTCTTGGGAAGGGTAGACTGGATATGGACCTAACCCTAGGCATTTTCTTTTTACACAGTGGCCACTCTCAGACCCAAACCTGTTTTCTCATGCTTGCCAATCTGAGATTTTACCACTGGACCAAGCAATGGCCCCTAAAGTTGAAAGACTTGAAGAACAAACGCAGTTTTTTTTTTTTTTTGTATAAAAGACAGGCTTTTATTTAGCTTCTAACTCTAAACTCTAATTCAAGAAAATAGCCGCGATCAACACTTCACAAGTATAGTTTGATGACTAAAATATTTTTAAACAATGAATTGCAAAGAATGTTCACTAAACGGCACCATCTCCTCTGGAGGCATAAACAGAGATAAAAGAGACAAAACCATGATATNGGGGGGGTAAGAAGGCAAGGCATGGCCCTTGTTGAATATTGAACAAGTGAATCATTTAAGAAAATTTTTTGAAGCTGCTGATAAAAAAAGAAAAAGAAAATTGCAGAATGGCCCAGGACCCAGGCTTTGCCTGATTGAAATTTAGGTCCTGGGCATAATCTGCATCCCTAATTAGAAATGCTTATCCCTGCAAAAAGGGATAGAAAGCTCACCAGTCAAGAAATCACATGAAGACTAACAAAATCAACCCCATTAAGTTTTCATATTATTTTGATGAGTGCATTAAGTTTTCAAATTTTCAAGAGTAACAAATAAACGGGTATAAGATTTACGACCCCTATGGGGGTTCAGGCGTGAAATGCAAATTTATTCTAATTATTTGGCTGCCTGCAAACATTACCAGAAATTCTGGATGCCAATGAGTTTGAAAATGCATTGCTTAGAGAGAGAATTTAGTGCAGCAAGAATTAGGAAGAGCTATAGATATAGTACTTAGGGTATTTGTTAATCATCATAACCCTAGAATTATGCTTTAAAAGGAGAAAATGTGAAGATGAGATTACTTATAACATACCATTAACCACAAACTCTCAGCTTCTGAAATGGCCACTTTTGTCAAAACATTTCTCAGAAGTTCATAGACAGATAGCAGGTCTTCCTTAGACAGAGAAGCAGATTTCCTTCTAGCCCATTTTATCTCTATTGAAACCCTTAAAACCCATAATTTCACTGCCCCTGGTAGTTTTTCATTGCAAAGCTTTTCTGCTAGCTTCCTGGCTTCCCCTAACTTTCCCAGTTGCAAGTAAAATGAAATATACTGGTAAGCAAGATCCTCTGTAAGGCATTCCATTGATTCAGCTTTTTCATATACCTTCAAAAGATTTGATATGTATTCTGCAGCATGATCGGAGGTGCTTGGAAACCAAGAATCTATGGAATCTTCTCTTTCAGGAACAATAACATCCATCAAAAACTTCGTATACAGGGAAAACATCCTGGCAGAAGCCACAACTTTCAAGGCTTCTTCATAAACCTAGATGTAAAACATCCAAAGTGAGCATTAGAAAGATCCAGATACAGAACATGGAACTAAGAATGATTTTCAGAGCCTGTCAGGAATATTTTTGAAAATCAAAGAACGACAAAAATATAAAAAAACAAAATCCATAAAAAATCAAGTTAGTGCTCACTATCATATAGCCATTACAAAAAAATAACCCTCTGAATGGATGCTTAAACACATTTGCTTTTTGTCACCCATGCACCCACCATAAGCATGTATGAAGCAGAAAACCTACTTTATAGGAAGCAATAATAAGATGAAGCAATGCAATCACAACCTTAGAAATTGAGTTGTGAATTGATTTTCCTAATACAGGATAGCAGGATGAAAGCATTCTGTTCAATACCAAAAAAAAAAAATATTACTAATAATATGGAGTTACAGATGTCAACACAACACCTCTAAAATGAAGTAACCTTTAGAAGGATTTATCCCTGTGGCTTGGTTTGGAAAGAGCACAAATACAAATATGTACAATGGAAATACATACAAAATAATACAAAATACAAGATTTTTCACTGTACATATTTGTATTTGTACTCATTCAAAACTGAGCCTATGTGAAGAAAATTTGTTGTTTTTAAGAATATAGAAGATGAATAGTGGGAAGAAATGTGCAATTACTTCATACTAGTGACCTATGGTACGTGGGGTATTGGTACAAGAGTGTTGTAGTATTGACTACTTCAATTTTTAGTATAAATTCTGCATCCCACACTTTCTCCAGCCACAACATCCTTGCCTGATATGGGTAACATAGCTGGTGAACACAAAATTCCTTTAAGTGTTCATTTAGGTATCTCATCTCAATTACCAATAAAGCCAAGGGATCACTGATAAGAAAAAACATGGAAAAAAAGGAGTCAAGTGGACACAGTGGAGATTGCTTCAGGAACTTTTGTGTACTCAAAGAGTACCATTAAAATTGAAGATGAAATTTTATAGAATAGAAGCTCTTACTTTAGAGGGCAGAAAAGTACATCACTAAAAAAGTGCAGAATAGCTCAGGATGTTGAGATGGATGAGTGGTAAAACTAGATGGGAAATATTAGAAATAAGTGTACAGAAGGAACTCAAGATTACTACCAATTGGTAACAAGATAGTAGAGAATAGATTGGATCATTTGGTAACAAAAATCCATTGGTCAGAAGTGTCGGTGCAAGTTAATGGTTCTCAAGGGAACAGGGAAGGACAAAAAGAATATAGGCTTAGTTAGTTCATTATTTAACATATGAAGGCTCAAATAGAACACACAAACACACAAAAGGAATAGGACCCACGCAACCATGCTTTAGAGTTTAAACCTCAATTAGGTTTATCTTTGTTAGGTCCTTTTTCCCTTTTTTGATTGTTAACCATGGTATGATACCTTTGTTTGCACATTGATCCTTGCAGAATGAAATAACTTAATTTAGTTTTGATTTCTTTCCCAAAATAATGTTTTGTGTCTAATGCATGTAAAGCAAATTATTTAATTTAACACTATTTATTCCAGGTATATCCTTTCTTTTATTGTTTTCCGGGTAGAGTTCTATTTTTTCATTATTGCATAGCAAGTTCCGGTGTCACTTTAATAATTAATTCCTAATACCATTGCTTGTGATTTTCCTTCTAATTTTTCCCAAATTTTATTCCAAAGCATCTCCATCCTTCATCTTTATGATTAGAATATAATGTCCTAAGGCTTCATTCCATGGGCATGGAATTGTTAACCTAAATATACGAATAGACCCATGTCACCTAGATAATAACAGGTTTATGGCATGAATACGACATGCTTATGAAACTTAGTCAACTTATGTTGAAAAGTTAAGTTTCGGAAGTTTGGACCTGTTTGCTCATTCCATGGCATACACTTATTTCTGTCTTGGCATGGTTTCCATTACCATTTGATCCTGGCATGGTAATTATCCATCTACTTAATAATCATATCATAATATTCTAAATTTGGCAGTTGTTATAGGCATTACACGTCTAATATAATTCAGCAACCAACCTTATAATTTTTCTGATTGTCATGCACAAATAGCAATTTATTATGCAAAATCTTGCAAAACAACTTTCTGCATACTTTCAATAATCAAAATCAGCTATTATAGAACAGACATATCTCTACATTTATAAAGGCCTTAACAGTATACATGAAGTCTCACCTCAACTGCTTTGTTTAACTGACGAAACACAACTTCTTTACTGATATCCTTTGAATTTCTAATATCATTAATCTGAAGTCTAGCCAACCAGTCCCAGTAATCAGTATCCTTTGAGAAATCTCTCGTCATGCTGTTCATTATCTCTTCCTTCAGTTCATCTGAATGTGCCAAGTCTGTTGCATCCAATATCTCTAAAAAACGCTTTCTCAAGCTCATATTTGAAGGAAGAGCCTTAACTGCCCCACTGTAGATTGTTTCAAGAATAATAGAACCTTGTTCCCTAAAGGCATCCTCTTTCTTCTCTGACTCCTCTTCCTGCGCACTCGATCCATCTGCATTCTCTCCTCCTTCACTAAGGGGCATAAATAAATCTTTATTTTCATCTCTCCACTGTTTCTCAATGGCATCTCCATTATCACGTGTTAGTGTCCCCTTGTCTTCCCCAAGAGCAGCCTTTCGAGCCTTCAACTTGTTAAGGTACGTGAGTTCCATCCTGAGATATTCGACCCACAGGTCTTCCGAATTTGGACATGCCCTTAAACCACTCTGCATTAGAGCACGGGCAGCTGCAACATTTAAGTTGTGGTCAAACTCCCAAGCTGCAGCATAGATCCAAAGGCCTGGAACCTTTGGATGAAACCTAATTACCTGAGCCAAAACCTGCAAAGGAAATTGGAAAAATCACAAAGAGGTTAAAATTGAATCGTTCCTTACTTTAAATAATTCTTCCACAAGAGACAAACAAAGAAAATAGGGGGAAAAAGGATGAGCATATGGTTCAGTTTGGAAGGAGTACAAATACAAATATGTAGACTGCAAAACCTTGTATTTTATATTATTCTGTAGGTATTTGTACTGTACATATTTGTACTCTTTCCAAACTGAGCCTATGGAACAAAAAAGAGGCACATGAATCTAACATAAGAAAAATGGAATCTAAATTAACACCAGATTATCTGCTTTAGAAGTCAGAAAATCCCAGAATACAACCATCAATTTTCAAAAGGTACCAAGAATTTTTTTTTGTTAAATGTTCCAAGAAACAATTTTATCAACACATTTCTACATTTTCCTTTTGAACAAATACTATAAACTGGTTAAAAATACAATTTGTTTGAACAAGATCAAACCATCCAATTTCAGTAAGCAAGTGAAAAGCAGACAAGGATAAACAATTTGCGCAGGTGTTTGTCAAGTTGACCGAAGTAAACGATAAGAATGGACAATAAGTTGAAAGAGAAGAAACCAAATACCAAGATATACTAAAACGGAAGCAACAAAAAGAACAAATTAAAGTAAATAGGGACCACCATTCTGCTCCATTCCAATAAATTTCTAAAAATAACGATTAGGTTTGTAAGAAGAACAACACCTACAACTTAAATATATAATCTTCAAGTACCTGCTTCATTCTCCCATGACCGCGTTCTCTGCAAAACTCAAGATACCGAAACCATAGATCGATATCGCCTTTATAACGCATAACAGCCAACCGATAAATCTCCAGAATCCTCGACACGCCGGCGAAATCCGAGACAGATTTCCTCAATTTCTTATTGTCCTTTTCTTTCATTTGTCGAGCGACCGATTTCTTGCGTAGGCGACGGAGTGAATCGAGCTGCTTCTCATATTCGATGTATGCCAAGTAATCCTGCTTGAGTGGACTCGGACGCTTCAGTCGGTACTCGAAGTTCCTTCTCTTTTTTACGATTTCTGCGATTTCTCTGCGTGTGAATAGACCTCTTCGTTCAAGGTCGTCCAGCTCGTCCACCATGCGCTCTAGCCTGTACTGCACCACGTCCGCCATTTTCGATTGCTTGACGGCTACTCAGCTTAGCTCTGTTCTGTTTCAGGTCTTTCTTGAAGCAGAGGAGCTCAGAGGAGCACTGAGAGAGAGAGAGAGAGAGATTTTGCTTGGGAATATGGGGGTTGAGAGAAAGAGCGCGACAGTGCGGTATTAGGGCCAAATTTTGGTATTCGGCGAAGAAGGTCTGATGTCGCCGTGGGTGGACATGGGCCGGACTAAGCCCTTCTATAAAGTAGGTAGGACTGGGCCTAATATTGGTCCCATTTATTTAGATTTCGAGAGAGGCACTAGTAAGTAGGCCGGGCCGGACCGTCCATAATAAGCCCAATATAATTTGGTTATGACTTATGATGTTCTCAATTTAATCCAACAGTAGTTCGATATTCCTCTTATCTTTCCATGTATAGACATGGTACATGAAACATAATTCTCTACTGGACAAAATGTATTATGGGAAGAAACACTAAACATAATTTGGGCACCCTGAAGCTTGATATTTCAGGGAAAGCCTGTTTCAGGGAAAGCCTTAACTGTCACGTTTCATGTCTTTATAATAGAGCTGCTTATCGGTTTACCCATTACGCTCTTAGACATCATACCTCACAGACTGTATTAGGTTTATTGTAACGTTTTAAAAAATGACTCAGAAACGGAACTGTTATGGTCATTGTTTTTGAGTTGATGATCTGTCTATTTAGTTCAAACGAATGGCCCATTATGATAAAAAAAAATAAAAAATGGTTAAAAACCGTTGAATGGGTTAATGAGTTAACTTTTTCAATGGTTTTTGGTCAAAGACCGGGTTTGGGATAAAACGGAATCAGTTGCCTGAATAGTTTCTAGGCCGAATGGTCCAACCGTTCGGGTCAATGATGATTCAAAAACCATGATTTATTGTAGATTTTTTTAAAGAAAAAAATCAATGCAAAGAGTTTTAAAATAATGAATTAAGTAAAACTCAGTTTGAAAGGAGTATAAATAAAAATATGCACAGTGTAAACATACATAAAATAGTTCAAAATATAAGGCTTTGCAGTGTACATATTTGTATTTATACTCCTTCCAAATTGAGTCCATGGAAAATTAATCCACAGTTTTTCTGCACTATATTTGGTTAGCATAAGAAATCATAATCACTTCTTTTTCATAATTTTTCAAAAAAAAAAAATCCAAGCGGCGTTTGATAATGAGTAAAGATGCTGAAATGAAAGACTTATCACTTTGTCTTTTAGTTATTAAATAATGAATTAAATAAAGTTTTTAAAGACTGTGGTCTATCCAACTTAAATTTCAGCGTTTAGCAAGCTCACAACCTCCTTAAAATCTTATTCATTAAAAGACAAATTATGTAATAAGCTTTTCAGTTCCTCATCTTCAACCGTAATCAAACGGCCATTGGTCACAGGTGTATGCTTTTAGTCTCAGTTTGGAAAGAGTATAAATACAAAATAATATGGTTTTTAAATCATTGTTGACTCAGATGGTTGGATTGTTCGGCCCAGAAACCATCCAAACAACTGGTTTTTGTTTCACTCCTAAACCAACAGGATTAGGCAGTCAAACCATCAATCCATTCAACCAAGATAATGGTTTTAGCTATTTTTTATTTCAATTATTTTTAAATTTCAATGAATTGTCAGTTTGAACCTGATGGTCGAACTACTAACCTGGGAACAGTAACTAAAGTGATTCCAATTCTGGATCAACTTTTAAAACATTGCAAAATAATACAAATACAGGGTTTTGCACTCTATATATTTGTATTATACTCCTTTCAAACTGAGCCTTAGAATTGGATTGAATGCAATTTTTAGATGCATACCTAATATTGGTGGAATCGTGATTCTTTATAAATTGATTTAGCTAACTTTACATTAGGTTTTAGCAAAACAAGTTTTAATGCATATGATGAACATGGGCAAAGCAAGGTTTTAAGGTCTGGGATCAAATAGAATAGTTTTGATGCACCCTTTCCCCCCAGCTCACTACTTTTGTTATGACGGTGTCGTAGCGCAGGGCTAAAACCAAAACTCAACGCCTTTAATTTAAGGTGGACCATAATAATTTATCAAAGGTAAGGGTGATCATCAAAAACTGAAAAACCGAATCGAATCTAACTAACGATGTTGAATAAAAGTTTTCAGTTAATCAAATCGGTCAGTTCAGTTTCGGTAATCAATATAAAAAACCAGTGGTTAACAAGACTGATTGGTATACATATATTTATGTACATGTATTATTATATTTTTTATATATATTTTATATTATCTATATAATATTATAAATGGATACATATGCATTATATAAAAATATTGTTTATTATTTATAATATAATATTTTATATGTATTTCTAATATTTTTATTATATATTTATATATATATTTATAATATATTATAAATATAAAAAAACTGAAAAATTGGTGAACCAGATTGGTGGTTGACCAAACAGATCAATCGATTAACTGATTATAGGGGTGAGTAAGAAAAACCGAAAAGCCAACTAAAACTGAACAAAAAATCTGGTTAACCAAGCCAGTTGGTTTGGGATTTTTAAAAAACTGAAGGTACCGGTTTGATTTGAGTTAACCGATATAAAAAACCGGCGGTTAACCAAACCGACTGATATACATATAATTTTATATATTTATGTATAATATATATATTTTATATTTTCAGTATATTATAAATTAATAAATATACATTATATAAAATATATAATAAGTTATTTATTATTTAAAATATAATATTATATATTTTTCTAGTTTTATTATATATTTATATATTTTTATAATATATATTATAAATATAAAAAAAAAAACAAAAAACTGATGATTAACCAAACTAGTCAACCAGTTAACCGGTCAACTTCAATTTGGTTTCAATTACAAGTTTTCCAAAAACCGATAACCCGATTTGATTGTTTCAAAAATAGGCCCACAATCGAACCGTGAGCACTCCTATCTCCTATGGCTTCAGTTCGGTTTTGATTAATAATTTTTCAAAAAGTGATATTTCAGTTTGAAAAATAGTTTCAAAGTTCGATTAATCAAACCGATCAACTGGTTAATTGATTGGTTTCGATTTGAAAAATAGGTCAATGGTTAATTAATCGAACGATAAGCACCCGTAATCAAATGTCTTTAATGTCGTTGTTTCAGCGTAGTGCAAGGACATTATTATCGTAACAAATGTGATCCCCCGGGGCCCATGTGTAGTCCATCACCATACCCATAAACCCGGCCCTATACCCAAACTACTTTGCATCCCACAACTTGGCTACAAGCCTACAAAAAGAGAGAGGTCCAACGTCCAACGCCGTACCAATTGAACCACCATCAGTTGGTACTTTTTAATGGTTCAACCATCTGGTTTTTTCGGATCAGTTTACGCACGTACCCAGCAGTGAGTCAAAACTCAAACGAGGTTATCATTAAAAAGTGTCTAACAAACAAATCAGTAACTACATTGTGTGTTTTGGTTAATGAATGTTTATATTTGGGAATTGTGGATATATCGATCTCATCATCATCCATGAGCCAACTGTGTATAAAGAATGGGGAATAGAATACCCGAATGAATGAAGCTCATCACGTGGATTGCTATAAATGAATATGCTGAGTGAGTGTTATTGTCGGTGTACAACGACCAAAGTGCCCCTCTAGACTTACTAGTATTTTTTCCTTGCACCTACTCGGATGGGTCCAGTGCTGATCAGATCTATGGTTTTTCATCCAGCTCCGGTCACAGGCCACAATGTGAAAAGCGAATGATAAGGGTTGGATTAAAATGGTTCCAGCCTGTATTAAAATTGACCTTATATTATGGGAAACAATCTGTTACATCACTTTATAATCTTTTTGTAAAGCAAAGTTGATGCCAAATTAGGGTGGCGTATATACATTTCCTTTTTATCCCTATCAACACCCTTGCAGTCAAAATCAAATGCTCCATGACATAAACTCCTCTTTGATCATTTTGGCAAAGATAAAAAAAAAAAGGATTTTTTACTAGTGGCAAAGATTATGGCGTGACTAAATTTTAGAGGCTTCTCAAAGGAAATGGGCCAATGAAATAGCCCAATAGTTGATATGGACAATGGAGTCCCTCCAAAATATAATATATGAGGTATAACATCAAATCTATGAAACTGTAGACTCTCTTACTAATAGTATGACCAATAGACCTAACATGACCTCTATTCCCAATTCCGCACTAAAAGAAGGCAATAGAATATTCAGGATAATGAAATCTTACCATGGAAGTATGAAACCTGCAGTTTTGAAGAATTTAAATGGATCTTAATTAATTAAATAGGGTTGTGACTTGTGAGGATCGATCACGTGAACGGATTTCATATTGGAGAATGGGGAGTAGTCGTAGGGGATGCAGCAGCAGAAAGTGCTGTCGACGTATGCATGGCATGGCCAACCCGATATATATGAATATGATATATTGATATATCCCCAGTCTCATCATCTTAGCTCCCACCTCTCCATTTTCTCTCGTTTGAGTAGAATACATTAAAAAAAAAAAAAAGAATGGGATTAGGATTATTATATAATTGCATGCATCTCGATCCTCTGCCTTAGCTCAGTGGGACAACTCACAACTGTGGGGGCTCTTGCTTGAAATCCAAGTCATCTCGTTGACTCTAGCCCACGCACGATGTTCAAATATGGTCCTCATCCACACCATACAATATCTCGTATCATTTTTTCAACGTAACTGTTGTTCTCTCTCTCTCTCTATCTTTTTGAAGAAGCACTGCTTAAAAGAGAATCTGAAGCGAAACTGGGCAAATAACATGGCAGAATGACTGATGGTTGGTGTCAATCCTCTCTGTCACTGACCTTCGAGTAGTACTGCATACTGTCACTGACCTTCGAGTAGTACTGCATCGATCCTCTCTGTAGTAGGCGAAAATGAGATTGTTACCCTCTAAATATTACGAGCCTTTTACGCAATTCTGTATGCGCGCGACCCAGCAGGCCAGCAACATTATCGATATTAAAATAATTATGGATGCTTGAGAAGAATCACTTAGAACTCACGCCCAAACCCTTGATCAGTAACACAATTACAATTCCGTGATGGCCAGTTAATTTGGAATTGGAAACTTCTGAATATAATAGGAATGCTGTATTGCTGTTCGATCGAGAGACCACAGTGTAGAGAAAATATGTTTGTCAGTGTGGATAGAATAAGGTTAAGATGATGGGCCTTGTGGGCTTGTCAACAAAAAATAGTTGTTCCAAATCCAGTGGGAGGAACGCGGTGTGGTGGTCCCCCCCACCCCTTTTTTTTTCTTGACTCCATGAGGCGCAAGTTGGCCAAAAGCAAAAACAAAACAAAATATATATATATATATATATATATATATATATATATATATATATATATATATATGAAAGAGAGAGATAGATTCCATTTCATCACTTCCACCTTTATATAAGCTTCGGAAGCCATAACAAACCTTAAGTTGCACAACATGGAGAGATCGATTGCTTCCCTTGTAGTCTTGATATCCATTCTATTTTGTGTTGCACGGTTTCCTTGCAGTGTCAAAGCAAGAAGTCTGGTACAGGTATACAAAGAAACTAATCCAAGTGAGAGGAGACTCATATCTTGGAACGGTCGTGGTGGAGGTAGAGGATTTGGATTTGGTGTGAGCCGTAATGGGTCCAAGATCGACATTGGTTTTGGCGGTGGCGCTGGTGGTGGTGCCGCCACCAGTCATGGTGGAGGCGTTGCAGCTGGTGGAGGTGCCGGTGCAGGTGTTGGAGTTGAAGTTGGGAAGGGGGGTGTGCGTATTGGTATAGGGGTAGGTGGTGGAGGTAGTGTTAGTGCTCGTAATGGTAGGGTTAGTGTAGGTAGAGGGGGAGGTGCTGGTATTGGGGTCAACATCGGCCGTGGGGGCGTAAGTGTTGGTGGTGGAGGTGGGACTGGTGGTGGCATCGGTAAAGGTGGTAGTGGCGGAGGTGGAGCAGGTGGTGGTGGTGGAACTGGCAGTGCTGGAGGAGCCATAGGGCATGGCGAAGGATATGGTAATAGCAGTGGAACGGGTGCAAGTGGAGGGGGAAGCGGAGTGGGATCGGCGGGAGGTGGAGCAGCCAAAGGAGGAGGAGGAGGTCGCGGCGGCGGCATTGGTGGCGGTGGAAATTGAATTCCAAAAATCGTAACAAGTCAATAATAACTCCTTGACGTTTACTTTGTATAAAAATTTACAGTTTCTGCCTATTTTTCTAGACTTCATATCTGGGCGAAGGTGTTGGTGTCATGTATTAAGATATCCTGATTTACTACTTGCAGGATAGAGTAATTCATTAAGTTTAGATCGTTAGATGTACGCAAAAATGCTTGTAAGTCATCGTTTTGTGTTCTGTTTAAACTGTTTAAGCATATGGGATGCCTGCAGTGAGAACTGAGAAGATCAGATGATGAGCATTGGGGCCGTATGCACGGCTGCAAATTTCAATTAAACCATATGGATTCGATTAGTTCGCAAAACTCACAACGTTGACCCATTGAATATTAATAAATTTGCAAGTTGAGATGCGTAATAGGAGGATCTATTATCTATAACCGATGTATTAATTGATACAGGGGAAAACCGAAATTTTGGATGAATAGAATTACTGTTTGTTTCTAAAATCGAAAGAAAACTACTTATATGCAGAGGTAGAATGCTTTGTGAGATGGAAGGAAACAGTCCAAGCATCAATTCAATTTCATGATAAAAAACCTCCCCTGAGTTTCTGATAATCATAAAAACCTCCTGTCTAGTTTTATTTTAAGAAAAACCTCCCTTGAATTTTTTGAAAAGTCAACACAAACCTCCCTTCTATCACCAACAGAAACGAAAACGTTCCACCTATGCATTATTTTTTCAAAATATCCATTTTACCCTTGCGTATAATTTTACTAAAATAATTCTGAAACTCATCAACCCTCCTCTTCCTCCTCTTTCAATCTCCCGCCCCTAAACTCAACTCCATGGAGTCAAAAAGAGAGAGGAAGCATTCAGCCACCGTAAACTCCATGCGTTAAGAAGAGAGGAAGCTTTTTTGCTTTAACTCCACCGTAAACTTCAAGCATGAGCATGGTGGTACCAGATTCACACGTGTTTATATTAGGGGTGCCCACGGGTAATTTTCTGGACCGAACCGATAGGTTCCGTTTTTACATTCAACCGAACCGATACAACTGGCCCACCGGTCAACCGGTTAATTGCGCTTCGGTTTTTTGATTTTTTTATGCCCTTAAAATAAAAAAAAAAAACGAAAAACATGGCAATTGGGATCGTCAGTGTTGTCAAGATGCATTAGCCTCTAACCTGCAAGCCGAGCCTCCAGTGTCGCGGATCGCCGGTGTCGGAGGCCAATGGTGAATCAGTTGGAGGGTGGAGCGCCAAAGGCCAAAACCAAAGAGAGAGTCTGAGAGGTGAGAGAGAGAGAGAGAGTTCAGAGAGAGACTGAGAGGTGAGAGAGAGAGACCGAGAGGCGAGAGAGAGAGAGAGAGTTCAGAGAGAAACTGAGAGGCGAGAGAGAGAGAGAGAGAGAGAGTTAAGAGAGAGACTGAGAGGCGAGAGAGAGAGAGAGTTTAGAGAGACTAACAGGTGAGAGAGAGAGAGGGAGTATGAGGGAGTGGCAGCGGCCAATGGGTGTCAGTCTGTCAGACAACTCGGACTGGTAGCCAGCGGATGTCAGTCTGGCAAACTTGTCCCAACTCTCAGTTCGGCAGTCTGAACACTCTCAGCTTGTCGAACCTTTTTATTTGATTTTTTTAAAATAAAATATAATATATATATATATACATCGGTCGGTTCAGTTAACCGCTGATTTTTAAATGACTAACTGGAACTTTCGGTTTTTGAAAACATCAAACCAAAATCAAACTGACTGGTTTAGTAAACCAATTTTTCAATTCGGTTTCGATCTGTTTTTTCGGTCGATTTGGTTTTTCGTTTTTTTATTGCTCACCCCTAGTTTATATGGTTCCAAACATTTTGGATTGAAATCAGCCCCTAAGCAAAGGCCATTTTCATTCAGTGATCCCTGCTGCTATGAAAACTATGATGCCATACAGACCACATGTGGCAAAGACATCATACTAATTGTGGCAGCTTGCCATACCGATTGCCATGACCTCAATGCTTCAATCCATGAATACATCCAGAGATTTCCATCTATATTTAGTCTCAAAAATCGAAAATGCACCGATAGAGGAATCATTGTGATCTCCAAACAGAGATCACACTGGTCTAGATCTTCTGTCAAGAAGTTGTAAGGCTCCATCAGAGGTGAGGGTGGCTTAAATAGCTGAAATAGGACTCCCACTTGTCCATTACGTAATTGACATTGCTTTCCCATTTCAGTTTCAACTCACTTGAGACATCCACGGAGAGATTGTAATAACTTGACATCGAGTTTTTGCTAGTAGCTCGGAGTGTTTAACCAACATATAGATTATGGCCTTAAAATATTTGTTCCCTTGAACCTTGTCTCCTCAATGACAAACTTTTTGGCTTCAACATTCAGACCTTCTCCAAATTTCAGATGTCATAGTTGCTACTCCCACCTGTGGATGTATAGAACTAACATATGAATTAGCATAAAATTTTGCCCAATATTCTTCATACTACATTGCAGTTTACATCCGTTTGTCTATCTAACAAATCACACCCTTCCACTTGATCATTGCACATGTAGGAAATATGTTGCTAGGTAGATGATTGGCAACGGATTTGATAGAAGCAGATAATAAAACTGCAGGCTGGAAGGTTATCTCACCATAATCCTTTAAAAATTTCTTGTGACGATAGAATGCGTTGAGTCCTCAAATATGAGTTTAATATTGTCTGTAAACATCAAATTTAAGTGAATGTATTGGAAGAAGAATAGGATCCTGAAATCAAGATAAATAGAAACTTAATGTTTCCTCTCTTCTTGAAGATCGCCGATTTGGTAGACCTAAACAATACCGTGAATGATGTCTAAAAGAAGCCCTAAGTTAACTTCTCCATCTGAACCTTATTTGCTCATGATTGTTAACATGAACGATGTCAATGCTGGAAAGGAAGACAAGAGCGTCTCCTTCCTCGGAGTCACCAATGTCCCAATGTGGCAGAATGGGACAGTTGGCTTGACAGATTAGACTCCAAATACCACCACTTTCATCCTTGAGCACACTTTCTGTTACAATGAAGTTTATGGTGGCTGAATGCTTCCTCCTGTTCTTGATTCCATGGATGGAGTTTCGGGGTGGGAGATTGAAAGAGGAGAAAGTAAAGTTTCTTTTAAGATTATTTTTGTCAAATTCTATGTAAAATAAAAGGGTAAAATGGGTATTTTGAAAAAATAGTGCATCTGTGGAACGCTTTTTGTCTAGGTCAATAATGGAAGAATTCAGGGGAGGTTTGTGTTAAAGGGAAACTTGAGGGGAGGTATTTATGATTGTTAGAAACCTCAAGGGAGATTTTTATATTTTACCGATAAAAGAAAGCAAATCCATTGGATGGTTGGATTGTTTGATCAGTTTGTAATTATCCACTTATAGATATCACGCTCAAATTTCTAAAAGCGTCGGAAGAGAGAGACAGAGAGAGATCGATTGGTCAAAATTTGGAAAGTGTAGTTTTAGGAGCTATGGTGAATCCAGCAACTTAATGTTTTTATCAAAAAAATAATATTTTTAAATATTTAAAATATATTTTTTAATTATTTTACTATTGTTTTTATAAAAAAATAATATTTATTGGTTAATATTAATTCATTGATGTATTTATCATATAAAATGCAAAAATTAGATATTTATGATTAACTGTGTAGATCATTCATAAAATGTATATGAGATACATAGAATCAAAAGGTGTGGTGTAGACTAGTGCACACCACGCTTATAGAAAGCCACTGTGGGTGTGCACTTGTCCAGTCCACACAGTTTGTCCACAGTTCAAAATAACTGTGAACTGTGGTGTGATGTGGACCAGTCCACACCCACCAATTTCTCATCCACACTACATAACACCCCTTTAGTATTGCCTTTGCATGCAACATATGAAACCCACCTCTAATATCAAGTACAACGAAAAAATGAAATAGAAACTTTCACAGTGTTTCGCACAATTAAATATGCAAAAAAGGGTGTTGTATCACATGATTCACATCTCTTCTTCTCGGAGATTTTTTACTCTTATGGCGATGATCATAGGTGAGAAAGTTAGATTTCACACTATCGGAGATTTCTCACGAAAGAAGTCAGATATTTTCCTTTCTAGTGACAATCAAAGGTATTTTTGGGTCAGTTGGATTTTAAGAGAAAATTGCAAGAAAAAAATAGAGAAAATTTAGTGGGGTATTTTGTTAATTTAATGCCTTCTGTTATCTGACTTAATGACCAAGGGGGGTCTTTGTCTAACGATCAAAGTTCAGGGGGGGTCTTTGTCACAAAAAAATTGCAGGGGCGTCATTGTCACAGACCCCATAGTACAAAGGGGTCCATGTAATTTACCCATTAATTAATGCATCTAAAAACTAACCAGACAAAAAAGAGATTCTTCTACTAAGCTATGTTGCATTTCTTTTATTTTTTGTTGTAATTCAAAAGTTTTATAGGGGTATTTGTATCTTTATATTCACATGTTTACAATTCTAACACATGCTTAACTTATCCAAAATTCTTTTAAATAATTTTTAATTTAAATTTAAGTTTTAAGTGGCCTTTCTTCACTGACTTTCCTTATTCTAAATGACTTTTCAATGTAAAGTTACTTTTCATTTAAAGTTTCTTTAAATGGGTCTTTTAATTTAAATTAGTGAACTTTTAATTGAATTGCCTCTTCATTAAAAAGTGCCTTTTAAACATGTCTTTTATTAGGAATGGCAATGGGGCGGGGCGGGGTTGGGTTTTGCCTACCCCGTATCCAACCCCAAATTGAAATTCCCTACCCTGTCCTCGCCTCGAATCCCAACAAAGCTAAAAATCTTAACCCCATCCTCGTCCCTAGGGAGAATGGGGATCCTCGACTTTGCCCCGCCCTACCCCAATCATTCTTACTTGTATACTTATAAATTTATTTATTTTTATTTTTTTGAAACCTACCTAAAACTATTTTATATTATGTAAATACAATATAGTATAATATAATATATAATAAAATAATAT